GACGAAGGGCCTGGTAACGAGTCGGGTAGGGGTGAGGAGGAGGAGTGGTGTCAGGAGACGACGAAGAAGAACCGGCTCCACCCTCGATAGGACCCGGCTGAGCACCCCCAGAGCGAGGACCCCCTGCGGCAGCACGACCAGTACCAGTAGGAGGTGTACCCGCACCCCCAGTCGTGGCGCCGCCAGTGGCACCAGCACCAGCCCCAGACTCTCCAGCTCCAGAAACACCACCAGCTCCAGCACCACCACTGACTCCAACACGCTCGGGACGTGCAGCTGCGGCAGGTGCACGCTCAGCTCCAACTCCAACACCCCCAGAACCGGCACCGCCAGAGCCCTCACCTCGAGCACCAACACCCTCAGAGTCCGCAGTGGCCGGGAGAGGAAGCGCCGACGGCTGCTGCGGAGGCTGTGAGGACGACTGTGGGGAAGGAGGAGAGACCTGGGGGGGGACCGAGGGAGGGGGGGTAGCCTGCGACACACCTGACGGAGCGGGAACCGGGGGGGGTACCGGAGGAGAGGGAGCGGGAGGAGGAGGAGCTGGGGCGAGGAAGAGGGGAGGGGGGGGAACCGGGAGACCTCGACAGGGGTACCGGACGTAGTAGGGGACGGACTCGTCGAGACTGACGTCACGAGAGTCAAAGAACCGGTGGGAGGGAGGGTGGTAAAAGGTGAAGTCAGAGGAGGCCTCAGGGAAACCAAGGAAGACACAGGGGACGCCGCGAGGTGAGAGCTTGTCCGCAGAGGTGTCGCGGACAAGCGCCAAGCAGCCCTAGACACTAAACCTCGATGCAACACCAGGGGACCCTGTCCAAAGACTGGTCGGTGAAGCCCCTGGCCAAGAGACGCGAGGCCAGAGGTTCAGCTGGTGAGCGGCGTACCGAGCCGCGTAGGGCCACAGAAAATGGGGCGCGCGGGCGTGGATCATGGAGGTGCGGGCAATCTCCATGACCAGGCCTAGCCGGCGCTCAGCAACCCCATTCTGCTGTGGAGAGTCTGGAAGAGTCCAGGACTGGGTGATGCCCTGCTCAGCACAGAATCTGGCGAGAATGCCAGAGCGAAACTCACCCCCACGGTCGGAGTGGAGACAACTGACACGACGACGACGAGTACTCTCGGTGGCGAGCAGCCACCGGATCAGCGTAGAAGTCACGTCGGACTTCTTCGCCAAAGGGAACACGGTGGTGTACCGAGAGTAGTCGTCAACGACCACTAGGAAGAAGCTCTCTCGCTCAGGTCCAAGCCCGAGAGCGGGGCCCCAGACGTCTAAGTGGAGTGTCTCAAAGGGCTCGGAGGCTGGACGAAGGGAGGAGGAGTGAGGAGTGGCGCGCAGCCGACCCTGGGCACAAGGACCGCACGGAGGAGCGGGGGACGGCGGGAGCGGCGGGAGGTCGCGGGGGAGGCCTAAGACAAGACGCTGACTGGACATAGCGCGGAGACGAGAGAGGGACGGGTGACCAAGGCGGTGGTGCCAGAGGAGGGCAGGGTGGGACAGCGACCGACACGAGCACGACGCAGCCGCTAGACCTGGCACAGCTACCTGACTGGACCTGGCTACCTGGTGGGACGGGGGAACCGGACGGGTGTCGGTGTGGAGGGTGTACAGACCAGAGCCCGGCTCCTGACGAAAAGTGGCCAGAGGGGCGTACGTGTCACCGTCCACACAGACTGCAGTGTCACCCGAAGGCTCAAACCAGACCCCGACGTGCTGTCTCGCCAGAGGAGCCACACCAACCAGGTTCCTAGAGAAAGTAGGAACGTGGAGGCCGGTCAGAGAACCGGAAGGGGCAGCTGGGCACGAGAGGGTAGTGGCGTGAGTCGCAATGACCGGTCCCGAAGAGGGATCGGCCAGTGCTACAGAAACCGGCGCTGAGAGTGGAGTAAGAGTCGTGCTGTCGCGGAAGAAGCACTGCGTCGCTCCGGAGTCCAGTGTGAAGGAGAGCGACGCGTCCGCCGAGGGAGCACCTGTACTAGTAGCTAGACAGGATCCTACACCAGCACCTACTCTAGCAACAGGCAAAGATCCTACGCTAGGTACAGGCAAGTAAACAGATCCGACAGCACTATAGTCAACATCAGCATACATGGCATAAGACCTAGCATCATCCATAGACATATCAAACACAGCAACACCACGAGCAAGGAGTGGTCCCCAGCGCGGTGGCGGGGGAGCGGAGGGACCGTGGTGCAGGACGTACAGGTCGTCAAGACGGCTGAAGCAGCGCGCAGCAGAGTGGTCAAGGCGGCCGCAGTACGTGCCCCTGCGCGGACCCGTCAGGATCCAGTACTCACAGGGACCAACGTCGCGGCCGGCCGAGCGGGGTCCCCGACTAGAAGGGGCACCACTGCGCCCAGTGCTCGGGGGGGCCGTAGGTCTCCACTGCTGCGGGGGGGCCCACTGCTGCGAAGGGCCCCACTGCTGCTGAGTGCCCCACTGCTGCAGAGTGCCCCACTGCTGGGGCTGCTGCTGAGGCGGACGCTGCTGTTGGCCCTGGCGCTGCTGCTGCTGTCCCTGCCGCTGTTGCTGTCCAGGCGGTGGCAGCTGCGGAGGAGTCTGCTGCTGCTGCTGCGAAAACCCCTCACCACCGTCTAGAGGAGAGCCGTCAGGTCCCGAGTCACCCCCGCCGCCACCCCCGCCACTAGTACTACCGCCACCGCCGCCACCCGCAACACCCCCAGAACCCCCGCCGCCCTTCCCTCCCTTCTTGCCGGACTTGCCACGTTTATGTCCGCCAGAGACAGAAACGGCCGCCGTCTCCTCAGAGGCAGAAGACGCGGCAGTGGCAAGCGAGGCAGTGAAGGTGGGAAGCTGTGGTACCGCACACCCCTCAAAGAGACGAGGAGGAGGCGCGGAAGAGGCGGAGGCAACAGCGAGGAGGTTACTCTCGATCTTCGAGAGAGCGGTCTCAAGAAGATCGATAGTAAGCTCAGTGGGGTGCTTCAGGAGAAGCGCGTCGCGGGCTGTGGCTAGACGGTCAGGGAGGCGAGTGACTAACCAGTGAATAGTGAGCCACATGGGGGGGGGTGCAAGGGCAAGCTGTTCCTCAGTGCAAGCGGCCTTGAAGCGAGCTTCAAGGGAGCGCAGGTGGGTAGCGAGGTCAGCGACAGTCTCAAAGGAGGCGAGGTCAGGGTAGATAAAGGGGACGAGGAGGCGGCTGAGGGAGGCAGAGGAGGGAGTGGAGTAGCGAGCAACAATAGCAGTGTAAAGGTCTGCAGCAGACTCGACCTGAGTGAAGTGGACAGCCTCAGTCGGCGGGAGAAGGTCGGTCATGGCGAGGCAGGCAGCAGCGTCACGAGACTCCCACACGTCACGAGCGAGGAACCGGCGCTGGTACTCAGCCTCCTGCTCGGAAGTAGGCGGTGGGGAAGTGGGCAGCGGTGAAGGCTGCGGCGGGGCGGGCAGAGCACCGGACGCATGCGCAAACAGGTGCACGCCATCCTGGCGCTGGCTCCTAAGGTGGCGCTGGGCCTGCGTCAGCCAGGTACTAAAGTCGATCGCACGCCCCTCAGGGTCGAAACGGAGCACGCGAGACGTCGCCATGAGGGGCGAGGACAAGTGATAGCGGCCGCCAGCCGCGAGAGGAGGGGGAGAGGGAGGTGAGTGCGAGGCGGGTGCGCGCAGGCGGGGCGCGCACTGGCTGGGCGCGGGGCGGCGGGGCGCGCGCTGGCGGGGCGCGCTCCGGCGCAGCGCGCTGGCTGGCGTGGCGCGCGGGCGCGGCGCGCTGGCGGGCGGCTAAGCAGGGCGCGCGCTGGCGGGCGCGGCGCGCTGGTGTGCGCGCTGGCGGGGCCCGCTGGCGTGGCGCGCTGGCGGGCGCGCTAGCGGGCGCGCTGGCGTGCGTGGTTGCGGGCGCGCTGGCGAGCTCGCTGGCGGGCGCGCTGGCAGGCGAGCCGGCGGGCTCGCTGGTGCGCCCGCTGGCGGGCGCGCTGGCGGGCTGGCGTGCAAGCGGGCTCGCGCGCAGGCTGGGTGGCGCGCTGGCTGGCTGGCACGCTGGCGCGCTGGCTGGCTGGCGCGCTGGCGGGCTGGCGCGCTGGCTGGCTGGCGCGCTGGCTGCTGGCGCGCTGGCTGGCTGGCGCGCTGGCTGGCTGGCGCGCTGGCTGCTGGCGCGCTGGCTGGCTGGCGCGCTGGCTGCTGGCGCGCTGGCTGGCTGGCGCGCTGGCTGGCTGGCTGGCGCGCAGGCTGGCTGGCGCGCTGGCTGGCTGGCGGGCGCGCTGGCTAAGGGCGGGGAGGGGAGGGGCGCGCCGGCTGGGGCGTGGGGTAGGGCGCTGGTGGGCTGGCAGGGCGCAGTGGTAACCCTAGTGGTAGGGAAGGGCGGGCCTAGGACTAGGAGCGCTAACCTACTGCTGATATCATGTCAGAATGAGAACTACAGCGGAAAAATGCGTTGTATTGACAGAATTGGGGTACATAACCTAACCCTAACTAGTTGTACCCCATATAGCCCAACCCACTACAGGCTATAATATTTGACAGGCATCACAAACACATGCTGCTTTGTGCAATACTACGATACATAGTGTTCACTTTTCTATGATTCTAGCTTCTACATAGATCTATTTGTACATACATTTATTGTTTTTAAGGAGCGCACATCCTTGACTCACCTCCCTCCCCCCCCCCCCCCCCCCACCCCGCTCTTAACCCCGACCAACTCCCCTCCACACCGCCATATCACCACTCCCCTCTGCAGGCCCATCTGCATCCAGTTCTCCAAGAACCCCCTCCCTCCGAGTCAAGGGGCCGGGCTTTGGAGGGGGACTGACCATCTCGTTCCCACCTCATCTCCCCCTCTCTAGCCTCATCATACGTGGCTCCAATATTTACAAGTGCCATACCAGCCTCAACCCAGAGCGAGGATTCAGGCATCAATGGAGCTAAGCTAACCCTACTGAAGGCCAACCTGTTGTACCGCATCCAACCGTACCTGACCCTACTGAACTGTTAAAGAACGCACTCTACCTTTCCGAGAGTCGCTTCTGACGGCTCTTTTACACATAACCCCTTAAACCTCTATTCTGACACACAATCTGTCCCCTCCGCTGCTCTCCCAATCAACCCTCCCCTCTTTCAACCCTGAATCTTCCTCCTCATCTGTCACCCCTAGAAACCGCCGCAGCTCCTCCCTCCTCCTCGAGTCACCCAAACTCGTGTCATTCTCTGCTGTCAACGCAATTTCCGCCCAAGATTCGCTAATCTCTTGCAATTTCTCTTGACCTTCCAGACGTTCCTCATTCTCCTGTCCCTCCCCACTTTGCAAACGCCGTCTGTCTGCCTCTCCGGTTCGTCTTCTTTGCGAAACTACTGCTGCGTGTTGTATTTCTAATGATTCTACTACCGTTGAAACCCTATTCCCCGCTGCTTCGCATGACGAATCCGTTCCTGCTGTTGCCACTGCCACTGCCACTGCTGTGGATGACGCTTCTGCTTCCCCTGTTCCCGCAACCGCAGGTGCTCGTACCACGGGCGGTCGTGCCAACACTTCAGGTGAAGAATCCATTTCTACAATTTCATGCTGCCGCTGAAAATTGTCTACAATTTCGTGCTGCTCCTGGGAATTATCAACAATTTCGACCTGAATGCTAACACTATCCGCTGTTGTCTCACTCACTGTTGCCGACGGATCCTCCTCGTCGTTAGGCGTCGCAAGTCTCTCGCTTGCATCGCCTGGATCGCTTGCATCCGTCGCCGGACCTTGAGAGTCTTCTTGCTGGGCCGGGAGTTTCGGGGGTTTCAGGTTGAAGCGGCAGATGGGACACGTGGTATGCGCGCAAAACCATATGTCGATACATGTCGCGTGAAATCTATGTCCGCAGGAGGGCAGCGTCTTTATACATTCCCCATCCTCGTACTCGCCAAGGCACACCGCACACTCGCGAAAGCTTTCGCAGCAGCCTTCGCGAAGCTTTTCGAAGGAGAAAGTAGCAGTCGGCAGCGCTTGAACGATCTTGGGATCGAGTCCTGCCGTCGGTGCTTTTTGCATCGCGCTGAGTTGCGTGCGACGCAGCATGTGCTCTTCTAAGGTGAGTGTGCGATCATGCGGTCCAGGAGAGTCGCGTGCGTTCAGCACCAGGAGGCACGCGCGGATGACCATAACGAAGAAGAAGAGGAATATGAAGAGAATAACGAATACGGATAGCACGGCGCTGACGCTGGTGGAGAATCCCGCGGCTGCGGCTGCCACGGACTGGTTCTGTGCTCCTGCTGCCATGGCAGTTGGCGTGGACATTTCGTGCTTCTTGAAATTGACAGTAATGAAGGGATGGAATAGATTTCGCTAACACCTAACTTCAACCTTCTCTATTTGGGCACTAATAATGCTCTATCTGTCCAGGAAGTTGTCTAGCAGAAATGACCAGAAGGAATTTGAGACTAGTGAAGTATTCAGGAAGCACAAGACAAGACTGGTTTCGGAAGGACGAAGAGCTGGGAAGTTCTTCACCAGCACATTCTTGGGTTGTTCGTTGTGAAGGTGGTTCAGTTTGGTTCCTCTCGTTTGAACACGGTTCTTGTTGACAACCGTGCTGAAATGCAGTGAACCGAAGCGTACCGATAGGAACCAAAAATGAACGTGCTGGGTGGAAACGGACGGATTGTCTTGAGCTCGTGCTGGTGTAGCAAGACGAAACGACACGCAACCTCCGCGTCCCACCGAACTGAATCCAACTGGGGGAGGGGCAAGAATGCTGTGACGCGCACGAGCACCCACTTTCACACGGTCGTTTGCCCCCTTGAACGCCATTGCTCTCTCCCCGGAACAGGGCTCTCGATTCATTTTGGGGCACGCTGCCTGATCCGAGTTGTGACCCACTACACCCTGCCTCTGCAGTGTGCCTTGGCAGTCGTACCCAAGAAATGGCAGTGTGTTTTTTTTTCGAGGTCGAATCTAGAAGGGCGGGTCCTGCAATCGACCCTGCCATTATGGATTGATCCCAGGAGCCAGAAAATATGGTAGAGGACCTTTCTGGCCCGATTTTGAAGTGTGTTCTTCAACCGACAAGAGTGAATTCGTCTCCTTGCGTAAGTGCGTGGTGGTTGATGTTTTAGTGGTGTGAGGTGGGGAGATGAAAGGCCTGCTGGCGGGTCTTCTAGGTGCGGTCACTAGCGATAACACGCCGCTATCTGTGCTAGATTGAATCTCATGTGTTTCAAGGACTTAGCCGAGTCTGGAATTTCAGTCTCGAACGCTAATGGACACATTTCAGTCACAAACGCCACATACTATGCTAGAGCTGAATCTCTGATGTTTCAATCACTTAGCCAATTCTGGAAATTTCAGTCACAAAAACTACTGGACACATTTTGGCTCAGAAGAAAAACCGCGCAGTTAGTGAATTTATGCAAAAGGGAAAAACTAGGCAGGGTGTCTGCCGTAACGATTCGGGAAACGGCAGTGTTGCACATAATCGTCAAACAGCAATTGCAGGGTTTGTTTTTAGCCCTGCCTGACGATAACAGGGTGGACGCCCAGCCAAACCCAATTCTAGCAGTGTGAGTCCAAAGATTTACCCTGAAAATCAGGGCAAACAGGATAAGACGCCTTGCTATCCTGAGGCCTGCCCCGGGAACCGTGCAACGTCCTCCCCTCTGCGTACGCAGTTGAATCCCATGGCAGAGCTGTCATGGACATTGTGGAGGGCTCAGCTCGCCACGCGACACCATCAATTTCCAAGCATCACGCTGCTCTGACGTGTCAGTGGCAGATGTGCTCACATTTTCACACTGACCAACTCGGTATGTAATGCCGAGTTGACGTCAGATTCTCAACATTCCGCGTGGACTCACATGGATAAATGTCACGGCGGGAGACCGACAGCATTTTCTCCACGTCGAACACACCCGGCTTGACGTCAGCGACGAAGACCAGGTTTGACGGCCTGTGATTGGCTCGAAGGCTTGTAAGGAGGTAAAAGCGACAAGCCAATGTGCCAAGACACAAGTGCTCTTACTTAAAGAAGATGTTCAAACCTTGATCACAGCTACAATGCAGAAAGAGTACAACTCTTTTCCAAAATAATCTTAAACCTCCAATGAGCATCTATTCTGCTTGACATATACTTCACATTTTTTCAAATCATAGAAGATTCCAGACTACAAGCACAAAAGGAAAGAGCCAGAAGTAGTTTTGAGATATATCAGCTCACCACCAGAGGCTGCAAACAATTGTGCATGGACGGACGCTACAAGCCAGGTAATGTGGGCACCATCTAGTGTACAACACAACAGACTCCTGGTATGGTGAGAACAGACCATGTAGACAAAAGCAATCCATCAGAATGCTCGGGCAAATTATGTGTTTGCACGGCATCATACTGTATGAGAATGAGTGTGTGAAGGGAAGCTGAGATGGGCAAGCAAGGGGGGGTTGATGCACAACGAATCCTTTGTACGGTACATGGAGAATGCACATGGCTGTTGAAATATATATGTAACTGCCTGTAGCTGTAGTTTAGTGTAGTTATTATAACTTGTTGGTGGTGCACCTTTCTGTTGGGCTGAGATAGCCCCTTAGGATCTTTGCAAGGGATAACTCTAGGTGAAGTAGTTGTAATAGCGGAAGCGTTTAGTGAAGAATTTGAACCGACCTTGCACAGGTGTGTGAGAGCAAAGTTGATTGAATTAAACAAGCAAATACAAGGATTTATATAAGAGTACAGGGAATAGATAGATAACTGTATTGCTGTTGCGGTTCGATATAGCGCGACTCGGGCAACTGCTCTGTAACGAGTCAGTTGTGTGTCCTTAACTGTCGCGCTGTAATTGTCGAGTCAAAGGTCAGCGACCTTTGACTTTCTCGTAACCTCCAGGCGGTTACCCTAACCTCCGAGGTTGACTCGATGCTTCGATTGGGACTGCTTCGCTTGGTACCTTGGATTTTGATACGACAGAAGCGCACTTAGGACTTATTGTTTCCAACACTCCCCTTCGCTTCTGGAGTGTTACTGCTGGTGACGTGGCCTTGTCCAGTCAGCATCATGCAGTATTCGAACTTCTGCTTGCCGAGTTTCTTGGTCAAGTAATCGGCTGCCATCTCGGATGTTGGACAGTATGACAGATCGAGTTTCCCTTTTTTCTATCTCGTCCTTCACGAAGAAATAGCGCAGGGCGATGTGTTTCGTCCTGTTTGCGAAGCCGTTTTTGTTGGCGATGCGAATTGCTGACTGGTTGTCGCAGAACACGGTGAAGCTGGGTAACTCGGCTAGCTTCGCTTCTTCCAGTAGTTCGCGAAGGTAAAGTCCCTCCTTGGTGGCTGAGCAGAGTGCAATATATTCTGCTTCTGCTGAAGATAGTGCGATTAACTCCTGCTTGCTCGACTGCCAGGAGATAGGACCGATAGGCTCAAGGCGGTAGACATAGCCGGTGCGTGAGCGCCTGTTGTCGGTGTCGCCGGCGTGATCGGCGTCGACGTAGCCGATTAGCTTAGTCGGTGTAGCTGCGCTCTTGTGGTAGGTTAGCCCGATCGTCGCGGTGCTGACGAAGTAGTGGAGAGCGCGATCAAGTTCCGCCAGGTGTTCAGCTTCAGGCTTCTTGAGATAGGTGGCGAGCTGACTTGCGGAGTAGGATAAGTCAGGACGGCAGGTGACGGCGGCGAATAGCAGGCATCCGAGCTTCTTCTGATAGTCGCGTATGCCGGCGGGCTTGAGTAGAGTAGTTCGTTCCTTCTCGGTTCCTGATGTGTAGCGGTAGGGCGTGGAGATGGCGCTTGGTGTGAGGCTGAAGCGTTTCGCGATGGTGTCGGCGTATTTCTCGGCGCTTAGATAGATGGCGTTTTCTTCTTCGCGGATGTTGAGCCCGAGGTACTGTGTAACGGTGGAGGAGACCGTGAGCGTGAGGTCTTTCTGGAGCTCTCCTTCGAACCACGTGGCGATGCCGTCGGTTGACCCAATGTAGAGGAGATCGTCCACGTAGACGATCAGGAGAACGTAGTCGCTTCCCTTAGTGAGGCGGTACATGCCTTGGTCGTGAGGTAGTTGACTAAAGCCGATGCGGATGAGACGGGCGTGCAGGTACTGCTGCCACAGTCGCGGTGCCTGCTTGATCCCGTAGAGCGACTTAAGTAGTTGACAGATTCGGTTGGGTTCGCCGTGGGAATCGTGCGGGAGCTCGACGTAGATTTCTGCATCCACAGGTGCGTAGAGGAAGGCATTCGCGACGTCGATCTGCCGTAACTTCTTCTTCTTCATGGCGGCAATGGCGAGGAGAATTCGGAGTGACGTGTGGCGGCTGACTGGAGCAAAGGTCTCGGTGAAGTCTCGTCCTTGCTCTTGGTCGAATCCACGTACGACCCAGCGTGCTTTGAATTTTTCGATCGTGCCGTCTGCTTTCGTCTTGATGCGGAAGACCCATTTCCCGGTAAGGATGGTTTTGTTCCGTGCCACGCTTACGGGAACAACCTTCCAAGTGTTGCGTTCCTCTAATGCCTTCAGTTCTCTATCCATGGCTTCACGCCATTTCTCCCTGTGTTCCCCCCCCAGAGCCTGCTGAACCGTTGCAGGCTCCTTAGGAAGCGAGCTGCGTGTGTTCCCGTGGACTGCGGTGACGAGGCCGAGGATTTGCAGCCCAGTCTGTGAGTGTCGAGGGAGTTCTGGATCCTCGGGATAAGCTGCTTCGTCTCCCGTTTCTGGGTCGGGCATGAAATTTGGCCCTACCCTTTCTGCTTCGTTGGTGTTGACTGTCACAGGTGTTACGTAACCATCGTCGGCGAAGTGGTAGAAGATTTCGGCGTTGTTACTGTCGCGAGGATTATCCTCATCCATGGGCACGTCGACGGAGCAGTATGGGAGAGGTCCGGCTTCTTCTGAGGCGTTGTCGACGTTCTGTTCATCCCAGTCTGCTTCGTCCGCTGCTGACGCGAAGGCTCGGTCACCACGAAAACCACTGGTGAGGTCCCGATTCTCGTGCAAGTTGGCGAGGTACGTCTGAAGGGTGAGTCTTTCGTAGAAGATCACGTCACGTGCTGCTACTGTTTCCTTTGTGTGGACG